CATTGGTTTTATGTAGGGCGCCAAACCTTTGGGCATCGGCTCTATTAAATATTGAACATAATTATCTGTCATTTCATTCCAGATGTCACAGATGCAAACAAAGGGTCTGAATTGGGAGCAAAGTTGCATTTCTTTAGCTGCTCTGCCATAGGACTTCTCAAACCTGTAGGATTCATATCGGGGCTAATTTACTGGTGGCCACTCCAACGTTGGTATGATTTGGTTTTCCAAGAATTTTCTAGTGGCATTGGCCCTGTGCGAGAGTGCTTTGCAAGCATGCAAATGTCTACTAGAATGACCACATGACGAAAATAAGGGCAAGACATGACGTTCCAGCACTTGCACGATGTAGTCCACTAAACAAAGCGACTCGGTAATTCTCACGAGGGCGGTTTTGTTCATTCCACCCCGGACCACCCAAAAGCCATGACAGGTTTTTTTTACTTCTGTTCCTCACTGACATAATTTGTCCAAAATCTTACATTGTCCATGCGCAAAAAAGGTAGAACACAAAACCGATAGCTCCCAAACAAAAACAAAATCATTCTAATGAGCACATGTAATGTTAAGTCCAGGTTTTGCATGATATTCTAATCTGTTTGAAAATATCAGAAGATGCTGTTAATTACAGAGACAATAATATCCTCTTTTCATTTGATATTTAGTACGTGTCCATTCCACCAATGTTGATGCACCTCAATACACGCGCAAACACAGTTTTACATTTCTTTGATTTCGCAGTCTTGCCAAGCATGATTTTTTTTTACATTTTAAAGTCAACTTAGAGTGACCATATCTCGGGCGTCTCTTAACACAAATGAAATATTAGTGTGTCAACTGATGCAGAATTTATTTAGCTTTGAATTGGTCGCTGCGTGAGTATGTAGTGCTGGGCTAAAACACGATGGTTGGGTGATTACATTGTCAAGTTTCTTTTGGACGCTACTATATTATTATTATGGAGGGCAGTCATATCTAGTAGCCAACTTAGAAGTTGAGATTGTTCCAGAATGCTATCAGGTCTGTTAACCAGTAATAATATACAGGAAAATTGTAAAACCCATTGAGTTTGCTGTTGCGCGGGTTTAGCGCTATACTATATGCAGGCTACAAAAATGCTATTTACCATTTTTAATCTAGTGGGTTTGTTTGCTGACGATCGTTCAATAGGGCAGGTATCCTTTTCGTTGTCATTTGACCCCCAAAATTCTGTGATCATTGATTATATCTTTTTAACGGTTGACTCATTGTCACTCATACTTTGTACAGCACTTTGTATAAATTTGTTTAAACTTAATCATATTTTTCCACAACAGTTGAGATTTAAAAAAAACTTTTCTTCATTAAAATACTACAAATCTCTTTCACGCAGAAAATGGAATTCTTCACAGCACTTCCCGCTTCTCACGCACATTCTGCATACGCATACTACGACTTACGTCACAGCTCACTAGTGACAACTCTTAAGTGGCAAAACTAGTTACAAGAAATTAATTTTCTAGTGAAGACTTTTTGGGACTAAGATTTCTCAAAACATGCGTTCAATAAAGATAATCTCGCGATTAGAAAAAAAAAAATGACGGACTTTCTTTTAAAATCGATATTGTCCCAGCTGTAAACCTTTTAAAATCAGTAGAAACCCCCCTTTGGGATTTTTATTTGTATTTATTAAGGAATTTTCTAGAATAGAGCTAATAGGTGTTTACAAAAATATTGATATGTTAAGACAGATTGACACAAGTCACTATGAAAAAGCTGGAGAGTTTATGTTCAATAGTAGATGAGATATTTGACAATAAGTCGCGCCACAAATTTTAGACGGCACTTAATCAAAATCGAAGCGGTGGTTTCTACAGATTTTAAAAGGTTTAAGGCTGGGGCATTACATGTATTGCTTTTAAAAGTAAGTCCATCATTTTCTTTCTGATCGCGATATTATGCTTATTGAATGCATTTTTAGAAACTCTAGTGCAATAAAGTGTTCACTATAAAATTAATTTCTTGTATAGTGGAATCCTGTTATAACGAGAGGTAGGGGACCGGTGCGAAATGTCCGTTATACCAGGATTCTCGTTATAAGGAATCCAGTAATAAATTGAATGGAAATAATGAAGTAGGCCTAATCTATCAGTTTGGTGTTCTTTTTATTTCTTTTTGTTATTTCCCCTGATGATGACATTGTTCAACAAGACCTCTAGGTCTTACTTGATCAAAAATCAAATCAGGTTTCTTTCTCAAGCGCTAGCGATGTTGACAGCACGGCGCTGGCGATCAGAAAGAATGCGCTCTGTGCTAACTCGCCCGCTGTTTTGTCCCCCACCCCATCACACACAGTGGTGTGTTTCGTCTGCTTGTGCACGTTACTACACATTCACTCCATCCATCACAGCATTGTGACCTCTCTATCCCCGCATCGGAGAAGTGAGGGCATGGGTAGTGGTAGGCCTAGATAATCTAGACTAGGCTGGCCTATCACACGATGAGTTCTGCTTGTTTGCGCTTACCGCACCCTCCCCACTCATTCGCTCGGACCTTCATTGTTGGCAAACGTGGGCTCTCCTATTCTTTGTGTAGCTCAAGGAGTTGATGTGAGATCTTAGGTTTCGCTAGATCACCTACAAGTTTCTCAACTGGCGAGGTGTATATGTATATAACTGGCTTGTGCGCTGTGCACAGCAGCAGCAATATTCCGTTATAACCGACTCCCCTGGTTGTCCGATAGCGCTATAGTAGTATTTTATTTACAAAGATAAAGAAGGGAAAAAACGGGGTTTTAGAACAGTGTCTTTATAACAGACTTCTCGTTGTTTCAGGACTCGTTATATGTGGACTCCACTGTAACATGTTTGCCTCTAAAAAGTGTCATTGGCGAGCTGTGACGTAGGCCCTATGCGTATGCGTTAAGACAAATTGATACAAACTGCTGTGCAAAGCATGAGTGACATTGATTCACCTATTAAAGTTAAAGATATATTTGAGGATAATCTGTGCCACAAATTTTTGACTGCACTATGGTCTTGGTGTACTTTTAGTTTAAGTAAGACTTTTACGGCTTTTGCAACACAATAGGGTCATTTTAGTGCTGAAGATTAAAGGTGTTACAAGAAGGTAACAAACGCAAAAAAAAAGAGGTGAGATCAGAACGATAGATCTTAGATAGGGAAAAAGGAGCAAACCGGACCAGACTACCCTACCCGCAAACCACCTGCAAAGGTGTACATGATGGGGGAAACAGGAATGATTTTCAAAATATAGCCTGATACTAGTGATACAAGGTCAACATTACAGTTACCGTCTTTCTGCTTAAGCTATGCTCACCTGTGACCTATGTGTGGCATCGTGATGAAATCATGAAATCAGGCGCTCGTCAAAATTATGAATTCTTACCGATTTAAAAAACCAAATTTTAGCTCAACAGCTTTTATGTCCATCTAAAATCACATTTCAGTGTGGATTTTACAGAAAAACATTGATCAAATGCACAAATAGTGCAAATTTGTCATTTCCAAGGAGTCTCAAGCTTTGGAAGTCACCAAACTTGAGTGGCTTCTCTTTATAATTTTTTTTTTGACAGCAGCCCTCCCCCTACAATCGCAAATATCCCTTTACTATATACTTCTATTCAAAATAGATGGGACATTATTTTCATCAAAAGCAAGACTAATGCACGAACTTCAAAATGATATCAATAACTCCATTTGCCCCAACATTGACGAGCACCGGATTCCACAGCAGTTTTTGTCTCAATACTGGCATCTATTTAGCTGAGGCCTGTGTTTCCAGTCATAAATAACTCAGAAATAATGGTAAAGGCCTCTAAAAGATCTAGAATCTGGATCTGTCAACCTTAGGCTACTGTTTGCAGAACTTGTCTGCTATTGGAGACAATTCTTGGAATATCACAAGTTAAACACACCATTTGTGCTTGCAGAAAAGTAAGAAGTCCAACAAAGCCCAAAATGCTAAAAACATTGTCATGTAAGATGCCTAGCTGACGAGAGAGACAAAGGTTTGTAAAAAGCAAGGGAATTTTGCATCCTTATGATATGTAAGTGCAATAAATTACATTAATTAAAATTAATGTGTCAGATTCATAGACTTACACTTACAGTCCTACCAAAACAAGAGCCAAATTACAATAGCAGTACCACCCTCAAAGACAGCATTCTCAGACAGTCTGTCTAAAATTAGTCGGACCCGTTTTAACGGCCACCTATATAAGAAAATCACCTGTACAAATGGCCACTTCCCACCATGTGTCTTTTTTACATTAACATGCCACTAAGTTTGACTAAGTGAGACAGCCACTTTTCTCCAATTTTGACTCCACTGCAAAATTCTTAGAATATAATGCTTAACTGTGACGGAAGATTAATTTGGAAAAGGATGCAGAAAGTGCCACAAGTTCAAGGTTTTGTCTAATCCTGGGATTGTGCCTCTTGCCAATTAACTGAATGTTTCAGGAAACCTAGCAACAATGACCCTTAATTTGGACCTGGTAAGTAAAAATTTGCTTGGAGAAAAGACTGCTTGAAGTTGAAGACTTTCTATTACTAGTCTGAACTGTATGAGCTGTGGGCAGTCACTGAGAAGAAAGGTCATCAGAACAGCAACTTTGAAAAGAAGGATTAGACTAAAAATAGAAAACAAAGAGAAAGGCCAGCACATGCATTTGCTCTGGCAAGATATGCTCATTTCTAGCAGATAATCAATTGAAACTTAAATTGTGTCAACGGAGGCATAAAAAAAACTACATTAACATTTTTTTTTTCTATTAAAACTGAACTTTGCCATCACAGCTGCAGCAAAGGAAAAAAAAGGAGCCTATTGAATATAAATTGACTGAAAAAATGCTTGTCTGAAAGAGTGTGCATGACTGCAAGTGAGTCTAAAACAACACTCGGTGCATAATATTCATAGGCTGACACAGAATCATTTCTGCTCGGCTTAAAATAATTAAAACAAACAAAAACATGGTGTGACAAAAGCGTAAAACTCAGTAATAAAGATTTAACCACTCTCTTTATTTCTGTGAAAACCTCTTCGATTCATTCACAGCCTACACACAGACCATAAAAGTATTAAGAATAATGACAAATTGTTCCCTCTTAAAGTCGTCTTGCTTTCTTTGGTCGGTTTCCATTATGAGGGAGGGGTGTTGTATCTGTGATGGACGCCACATTGATGCCGGACATTTGAATTGCCTTCAGGGCAGGCTGTGGATAAAACAAAAAAGAAAGCAAACTAAAAGTAACAGCAACTGTAAAATACAGTCAAACCTTGTTATTTCATCCCCTTCATATCCCCAGGATTGGTTACTGACAGATTTTTCCATCGTATTTGTAGCACTTTTACATCGCTATCCATCGACTGTCTGAGTTGTTTGGTCCTTTAAAATAATGTAAACTTGCCCCAACACACCACCAGTGAACTGGCAGCCCAGAGGTACACACTACACACGGCGCAAGGCACCAACTTGTTAGATCCCTTTCTCATACAAACTTGGCCCCGCGACAAAATATCTGGTATTGTCAGACATTAACCTGGTGACCTCAAAGCTGGCCAGCCTCCCTGAGCCTTTAATTTTGTGAGGACTCACATTCAAGTCTACATGACAGGTCTGAATTTGCCACAGCCGTCACATGTGTGGTCACCAAACAAGATTACCCCAAAAATTTCAAACTAAATCCCTCAAAAGCAATAAAATCAAGCAGAATTCTTTTTCCACATAACTACCCTGCGACTCCCTACAAATCACACTACCGAGCCTGTTTTGTTCTTACCCTTGCACAACTGATTTTTAAATATTTCTATGAAGGTATTTTTAAAGTCCCAATTGACAACACTTACATCATTTGGGAGGTGGGCTCCCGAGCATAATATAACTGTCTTAAAACCTGCTCTATCAGTGCCCAAATACACAAATCCTTTGGCAACAACTTCTGTCTTCCATCCCTGTAGTAGGGAATGACAACTTAGTAAAATTCCTAGAATCTCTCTCCACATCTCTGCCGTGGGTTGACAAAACGCCTTTTTTTTTTCTTCACAGCAGTTTCGAGAAAAGGAGTTTTTTTTGTTAGTGTAGCCTAACGAAATTGGAATTTATTCAAAAACTAGTCACAGTTTCACTTTGATTTAACAAATAAAAATTTTGGCGCCAAAATGCAAAAAAAAAAAGCGTTTTGTCAGCTTACGGCAGATCTAGTGTAAATAAGTGTAAGAATTTAACGCTCTTACCAACACTGCTAGGTCATTTAAGAAGCAGGACCTCCAACTTTAGCTTCATTCTCCAATAGGAATGAGCCAAATGGGTTGAGGGCCTTCAAAACTCCACAAAACGACCCAAGTTCAAGAATGCCTAGCCTGGGATTCAAACCAAAACCACCCGCTCCATAGAGCAACACAATACTAACGTAGCACCCTCTCTGCTTGTTTCCCCCTGGCATTGGGTATAGGTAACCAAGACGGTCTGACCACTTGTCTCTGTTCTGTTCTAGCTCCACCATCTACAACACAGTATTTGGCCAACTGCCTAAAGGATGCTGGATGGACAAAGTCAACAGCAAAACAAACAGAAAGAGGTGGACAAAATATTGTCGCAACATGGTGAAATCTGGTGCTCCTCAATTTCTAGGCACCTTAAAGTTTGTTCATTTTTCTTGCTTTAGATGAAAAAAAACCCAACCCATTTACCTTTAACAGAGATTGAGATATCTGCCTTTGAAGGAGGTGTCAGAGGATAACTTTGTGAGAAAGTAGCCGCCAAAGTTTGGCAACCTCCAAAGCTTGAGTGTTTTTCGAAACTGCAAATTTACATTTGCTGTGCCTGTCATCAACGCTTTTTGGTAAATTCCTCACATAACTGTGATTTAAAATGGATATAAAAGATGCTGAATAAAAATTTTTGCCTAAAGGGCAGAAAAATGTTAGTTTCTATCATTTCATTATTTTGAAGAACCCTTGATTTCACCACGATGCCACACATGTTCTTTTTCGCTTTAGTGCGAGTTTCACGGCACTTGCAACTCAATAACATCATAAAAGTACCGAAGGTGAGAGGCGTTACAAGAGAGCAACAAACACAAAAAAAAGAAAGAGGAGAGATAAGGACGATAGATGTTTGATACGAAAGAAGGAGCAAACAAAATCAGAGCACCTGCCAACCACCTGCTCACATATCTTCTATTGTGGAAGGAAAAATAAAGGGTAAAAAAGTATTACACACCAGTCTTCCTGGGCCAATTCCTTTCAGGCACACTCTGACAGTTTTTACATCCTTTCTCTGGACATCCTGCAACAGATCATAAAATAGTGATTTTCTTATGCCGTAAATACATCGGATAAACTGTCTTCTCCTTGCCACATGCCCAATAAGAAGAAAACTATAATTCAGTTGACTTTAAATATGGTATTTAACTCTTGTGAAATTAAATAAATCAATGTCCTTCGAAAATCTAACATATTGCAAATATCTCCAAGCAAGAGACTTGCGTAGTGAAACAAGTGAGGTAACAGATAAAATAATTTGAGTGTCATTTTAACATTTTCCCCCAGACATCAACATACACAATTTCACTGTAATTCTTGCCTGCATAATCAATATTTGGAAGACAGTCCTCCTTTAACAGGTCGCTGTTACAAATCAGTTGTTAATAAAATCTTACGACTGGTTCCTTCCAGGGTACAAAATCGACAAAGAGGAAAACATGGAACAAAAAGTTTAAGCACAAAATTAGCATTGAAACTTCTAGGCTCTCACACAAACAAAGACATAATATATTAACTTCAATAGGTTCGGTACACCCTTAACCCCTTAACATGTCAGAATAATAATGACAATCAGCACCAGTTTCCTCTTATCTGTTTCCGACATGTTAGTCCACATCAGTACAGTGAGTCGGTCTTTCTGCATTTTTCCTCCAGTCATTTAACGTTTTTGTAGTCATAGCATTGATTGGGGAATCCTTTACAAAACAGTCACGCTTTGTCGCACTATCAGTGAAAGCCCCCCCCCCTCCCCCAGGAGCTCACTAAACATCAAGGAAATGAGACTTGTGTATTTTTCCTCCTTTACACATGTTCAGGTAAACACAGCTCCGATTAATACACACACTCAGGAGTTTTCCCAAGCACTATGCCTTTAGGTGGAGACTACTACTGTGCTAATTACTTAGCATTTTCACTAAATAGAGTGCTTGTCATACAGATAATGAAAGAGTCAAAATAAAAAACAAAATTTTGGAGCGCATCTTACCCCAGCTAAAGCAATGGCTGCTGCTTGGGCTGCTACATTTGTTCCTTTCCTGGCATTCCGGAAACCAACAGTCCCCTAAGAATGGAAATTATGTTACTGGTAGGTTCCATTCACTAAAGAAATAGCAATTCACTTCATACATAGAATATAAAAACCCTTTATTTTTAAAGGTTAAAAAGAAAGTACATTAAAAATAACACTTTACATGTTCAGATAAGGAATGAAAATGTGCCTCAGTTCATTAACATATTTCGAGTGCTTGTATAACTTTCATGGATTTACCATAATGTGTATACAACACCAAAGGCAAGAACTTATTCATACAAAAAGTAGCAGGACTTTCAAAATATATCAAAGCGAAGGAAAAATTATGGATCTTCTCAGACATGTGGACATATAATATTGCAAACTGACCATCACATTACACAAGCCAGTAACTAAAGCTAAAAAAAAATGTATGGTCTAGCTAGAACTATAAAGGTAAAAGATGCATTAATGCTTTAATATGACTACCTCCAATCAAAAGAATATTTCTTTTACTGGAAAGACCGTAAACTATTCCTTGTCTAATTCTTCCCTTGATGAGTTCAGGAACAGCAGTCTAATTTCATTCCCTACTATTTCGAAGCTTTCAGTACCAGATGCAAGTTCTACAAGTAACCTAAAGCACAAGAACATAATTCCTGCAAAATACAGGTTTTGACAGCTCCTTTTCTTTAAAGCATAAAACAAATATCTTATCATGCCACTGAAAGTTAACTTACTGCTGACTGTATAGCAAATACTTGTCCTGAAAAGAAAGAAGTTAATTAAAAATAATTAGAAGATTACTGAATTCCCAAACATAAAGCTAAACTGTAAACCAACCATTTGCATGGAAATAAATTTTGTATGTATGCATTTTTCAGACTTTCGATATACATATACATTTACTCCATACCTGGAGTTGTTTTAGCAATGCACTTCCGGTAAAATAAATCCTTCACCCGTGTAATATAGGCTAAGCTGATATCTCACATGTGAAATATAAAAATTTGCAAAATTTACTGTGTGCACTATATTCGCCTTTTAAGCTTTTGTAAGGAAAGTATAGACTTGAATCATAATATTCCTAGACCCTGCAATGTTATGGCAGTCGCTTTTTGCCCTCTGTAAAAACTTTGCTGCGAGGCCCACTCACCATTGGCGCACAAATGAAGTACCAAACACCAATCTCCCACGTCCCTATAGTAGAGAGTAGGTATAACTCTCTACATTGCCCTTAATCTTGTTCCAAATTGAGTCAAATGGTGTGCGCCATAGTGAACCGGGATTACGTCAGAATGCGGGGAAGCATTTTTAGTGCAATCCAAGCATTGTAAGCATGTCTAAGCCAAGGGCCTATACTAGCAAACGACTTCCAGCCTTTGGTTTGCTTTGGTTGCAAAGTTTAAAATGAAAGTTATCTCTATTCTCACAGCAACATGTCATAACAATAAATGCAGTTTCTTAATTTTTCTTCAGCTTGCTTTGCCTATGCTTACGTTGTTATTGTTGTGTTTGGGGTTTATTTCGCGAAGTGTGGCATACGAATCGCACAACATGCAAATAAGCGTGGCAAAAAATAAAGGAAAACAATCCAGATTTTTTCCAATCCATACTCTGACTCAGATGGCCATGAACATTTTGTTCTCATGAGAGACTCTTCAAAGGATCTTCTTGTTCAATTGGCTGGTCATTTGAACTTTGTTGGTCTGGATCTATTTCGCCAGCTGATATCAGTATGGTATAAAAAATTTATTACACTCGTTATTGAAGTAGACCATGATTTATCCTACTTGTGAAATTGTCAGTCGTAATCACTTGTTGTAGCTCGTGATAACAACTTGTCAATTTCACTCGTAGGATAAATCAAGATCAACCATCATAACTCGTGTAAAAAATTATTTATACACACACATTCCTTTTCTTGGTTCCAAAATAGCAAACATTTCTGCTACAATTTATCTAAGAATTTTTAACCATAGGAAGAAATCCTACTTAAAGATGTTCATCTTTTAAATCAATAATGGGAACATGGGAGAAAAAAAAGGAATAGATTATCGCAATGAACTTGTCAGTGAGGAGATCTACAACCCAATCTTAAATCCAATGCACAAACCTGTCTGTCCATCTGTGGCAGAAATTATAGTATTGTTGCTTGTAGACTTGATGTGAACAACTGGTATATCCAGGTATCTAATACCGTTGAAGTGCTGATTGTGGGTTTCAGTTGTAGGAAATGAAGTCGTGCTGCAGACGAGAAAAAAATATACAAAGATTAGTGCTTGATGGTCTACTGTGATAATAATTTCTTTTCTTCTTCACAGGCTACCATTGGAACCACTGACAGCTGTTTGACTTGATGGGCTACTATAGTCCACAATATCGAATATTTTCCCTATGCATCTGTACAGGCTTGGGGCTGTCAATGGCTGGGCTAAAAATGTTTTGGTTCTGAAAAGGTTTGTAAATGTTTTGGCAGTTGTAGTTTGCAGTGGGATTGGGTGGAAAGGGGTACAAATAATCAATGACTCAACATTCCTAATACAATGTCAAAACTACCCTGGATGGAAGCTGATCTTTGTAATCATATTTTCACAAGTGTTTTTTGTTCTTAACCTTAACTCTCATAAAGGGCTGATTTTTCAGCATGCTGTTTGTAACTCTAGACTACATTAGCTGATTTTTCGGCCCAATTCTTTCAATCCTAGAAAAGTGTCATTGTTAACTGTTATGTGCTGATTCCATTATGAAAGAGCTTGGCAAATTACAAACTCCCCCCCCCCCCCAAAAAAAAGAACAACAACTGATATTCTTATGAAGAGCTTGAGGATCAAGGTCATTGCTTTTATAATCACCTTCATTAACTACATTTTCTCCAATTACTTTACAGAAAATATATAGCTCATGGGCCCTGAGAGCCTTTTGTGGGCTCAAAATTTGGACTTTACATCATATAGTCTACTAATTTTCTTGTGAACATCTGCTCATTCTAGGACAATGAATTGTCAAATTAGGATAGGGTTAATAGACCTTAATGTTCTTTTTGCATTGCACATGGAGACCGGAGTGTGGAGTGAACTAAAAGAAATTCTGCAACCAAAGCATTTGTACCACCCATAATATAGAGGGAAATTCAAACTTAACCTTCCAAGCGCCCAATACAATGTGCTGTGGTGTCAAGGCTTATTCAAGGTTTTTAGAGTAAGGATAAGAAAATAACGAATAGCAAAAGAAGACAGCAAATGAGGTACAGATAACTATACATTTTCCAAAAACCTATGAGTTGAAGAATATTTTTACATTACTGAGGGTTAAAAGAATAAATGTTTCGGTGACCTTGACTTTCTATAATTGACAATGAATGTCAGATTGTATTTTGTTTGCAAATGTGTCCCTATTCCCTCAGTTTATCTCCAGTGAATATAAGACTTTTCAGTATAAGCTTTCCGAAAATGTATAGCTATAAAGGATTTTGATGAAAAACAGAATTTTTATACTCCTTCTTCATTCATAGTATGTCATGTCATTTTCTAAAAATAAATTCACGATAATGAATATGGAGAACACACTTTGCTTCTTTTAAACAAATGAAATTAAAACAAATAGGCCCTAAGTCAAACCAAGTGAAATTTTGTCTCTTATAATGCTATTGTATTGTTATATATTCAAACTGACCTTACATGCTCCTCTTTTTGGGAGTTAAACTCTGATCTGTGATGTGCACAATAATAAATCTATTCGTTTCACTCACGATGGAGACATCAATTTCTTTAGCTGAATTTAACTTTCTGTTGAATTCGAGTTCCACTATAACAGGTTGAATTTTAAAGCTTTGTGAACGCTCCAACTTAGTCAATCGGCACAAAATGTCTAAGACAGATTCCCTATAAATACAAATTGGTTAATAAATCATAACACATATTTTTCATCCTTAAGATTTCTGCACAATTGCACCCTCACCATTCTGTGATATAGGATTATCTGGCGTCAGTACAATCTAGCCTGTGGACATGAAATGATTTTTAAATTCACATATGCACATACCCATAAGTTTTGTCATAGGTAAGAGGTTCTTTGTCTTTTGGAACTAAGTGGCTATCATATGATTCATCTGCCTGTCGAACAGAGTCTTTACTTCTGTCATATCTCTTGTAGCCTCCCTCAAGAACTGCAGAAGTACCTGAAACAGCACAGGAAAAAAAAAGAGATTTTAGAAACGATTTTTACAGCATACAGAGATGTCAGTTGTGCTTTATAATATATTATAGAAATATGTGTGTGTGTGTGTGTATGAGAGAGAGAGAGTGTGTGTGAGAGAGAGAGAGAGAGAGAGAGAGAGAGAGAGAGAGAGAGAGAGAGAGAGAGAGAGAGAGAGAGAGACAGAGACAGAGAGTGAGAGAGAGAGAGGAAGAGAGAGAGGGAGGGAGGGAGGGAGGGAGGGAGGGAGGGAGGGAGGGAGGGAGAGAGAGAGAGAGAGAGAGAGAGAGAGAGAGAGAGAGAGAAAGAGAGAGAGAGAGAGAGAGAGAGACTTCTTCTGTGGGAGTCAATCATAGTCAATTACAGGATGATTCAAACCTTGATGTAATTTTAATGCAGTGAATAATAGCACATGGGACACGCAGATGAAACATAAGTTATTTGAAAAAATAATATGATCTGGAAACTACTGGATAGAAGCTAGTCCACTGCAGACTCAAATCTGTGGCAAACTGAATGCCATTCTCATCTGTTTCCAATGCTCTCAACTGTTCAAAAAGTAATAAGTCTTGTACTTGTACAAAAATGAAACAGACGGAGGTAAAAATTGTTCTTTCAATCCCACATGGGTGCAGAAGCACTAGAACTGATTTTTTTAAAGTTGGGGGCAAGCCCCCCTTTATCTCCACAAGTACGTTTCTTTACAAGTATAATATTACACTACTAGGTAATTAGGCCTATTATCTTGTATAAAAACATCTTATATATTTCATAAACTAATAATGATAAGGTAGTGTTAATTGCCACCGAGTGACGCGGTGGCAATTGACAAAAATTGACTTTTTGTCAATTGCCACAGAGTAAATTGGAGCTCTTTTGCGTTGGTGGGTTAGATCTAGCTTATTGTGCTCGACAGGGCTGGATCCTGCTCGTCAAATTTGAGAGTGGCGATTCGCGATTCAGTCGGCTTCAATGAATCGGGAGTACGCGAGCGCTCGTGGAGCTGTGGCGGAACACTGACTGAAACGGAACAGTGTCATATCAACGCGTCTTGACGAGCGCGAGTCCCACTCTTGATGTTCCGCCATCCTCTCCGCCCCACACCCTTTGTTGCGCTGCTCTATCAACTGACCTCAATTAGTGACCCCCCATAAATCCCCCCCCCCCCAACCCCACCATTCGCTAAAACAATGGCTCCAAAAAATTCCTTCTGTCTATTGGTTGGACCCCGTTCATTTTGTTTTAATAGGGGGGTTGGACTATACCATCTTTTGTAAAATAAGGGGAGCCATACTAAGTGTTCCGTTCCATTCTTGCGCTCGTGACTCGACTCAGCAGTAGGTTAAACAAGCCACAAGGTGGTGACAGCGACAGGGGAGTAAATCGGGAATCGTTTGGCGATACTGTTCCACGTTCCGCTGAAGTGAATCGTGAATCGCGTTCCGCAGGAAAGAGTGGCGATTCAGTTCCGTTCTCGCGCTCGTGGCCCAGCCCTAGTGCTCGAGTGCTCGCGTTGTTGTGCGTTCGCCTCTCTGTCCTTCTGTGTGTGTGTGTGTGTGTATGTGTGTGTGTGTGTGTGTGTCTTTTCCTGACCCCCGTCCCCCGATTTAGGTTCCCCGATATAACTTGAATTTCTGCTTGAGTTTGAGTGCGTTTGTGACCTTCTACTTCTAGAATTGCCTGTGTTGGTTCTACACCAAAGTGTAGGCTAAGGCTAGCCTAGATCTAGGCTTATGTCTCTTTGAAAACACGCCAAGTTGGTACCGTAGCTCTAGACTAGATGCTCGTCCAATGAAATTAGTTGAGAACAAATTGACCCATTAGACACACATTATGTATAACTATAATGCTAAAGATAGTGTTGTTTTTCAGACTTGACACCGCTTCACTCGGTGGCAATTGACAAAAAGTCAAGATTTATCAAGAAACTGAGAAAGCTTCCACAATTCAGGCAGAACTACACATAATTATTATTATAGAAACGATGGCTACTAGATCTAGATCTAGTACTGGGGGTGTCAAATAGCATGGGAGCTGTTGAGAATGCGGCGTTGCAAATAGCCCCTGCCATTTATAAAAGGGAGTGTATACAGACCCGGTAACCGGGAAAAAAGTTACGAAGTATACAGACCCGGTAAGGGAAATCTTTTGTGATTTCGGAAAGTTTCAGCGCCCTCTTGGCTCAGGGTAGACCTAGGTTCTTCTAGACCTATAGCCTATACACATGTCTAGATCTAGACTGACAGACATTTATAAATCATACATCTAGTTTCGAGGCCTAGATCTAAATGAAGATTGCGGATGTCTTTTCGATGAACGATCGTTAATCTTCTATTTTGGAGTTGGATGAATCAATAAGACAATTTGAAGAAAAAAAACAAAGTCATGATTTCAATCAACCAGTCACCCTCTCTATTTGTCCGCCTCTCTCCCCTCTTTTTCTGCCTCTCTCTCTCCTCTGGGTATACATCGCTCACCTTGCTCTCTTTCTCTTTGTTGTCTATGTCTTTCTTTCTCCCCTACTAACTTTCTCTCATTCCCTCCTGTCAACTGAGGCATCTGATACAGTGATAGGCTATTTGCCAGCACTTCCCCCTCTTCTCTATCCCCCTCATCTCTCTCTCATACACACACTCTACCGGGTCTGGGCTCTGAAACTTTCAGAAATCACAAAAATTTCCTGTACCGGGTCTGTATACTTCGTGACTTTGTTCCTGGTTACCAGATCTGTATACACTTCGTTTATTTATTATTTTATTTCATAAAATCATTCAGATGGAAGGATAATTCGTCGAATTTCTCTCAAAATCAAGATTCTAGAATCTAGATCATCTAGAACTTTACTTTTTTATTTAAAAAATTTTTAGAAGAGGGTTTGGTGCTTTTTCGGTAGTTCCCATCCCCCCTTATTTGAGCCTGACCTACATCTAGAAATCTACATCTATACGTTTGATGCGCGGCGAGCTAGGACATCAAACCTAACAACTGTAAAACATTATATTGTGGTAAAATTCAGGGGGGCATATTTTTGTTAGGTCAGGGGGGCTTCCCCTGAAATCCCCCTTCTCTTGGGGCAAATACCGGCGAATAACAATAGCGGGGTGGGAACTACTGAAAAAGCGCCGAGGGTTTTACGGCGGAACTTTACTTCGTAAGCTAATTAACTAATATGAACTTACAAATATTTCTGTACAGCAGCTCATGCCCTTGCCGTTTGCATGCTCGTACGGCACATGTGAACGGTATTCTCTGGAGAAAGCTGTTCATTACACTACCACTAGGCCTACCGGCACTCAATTACGACACTGAGACGAGCTGTGTTGGTGGCGGTGGTGGTAATGCCAGTACAAAGGTGATGGCGGTTAGGCTACAGAACTATGGGACTAGGCCTATAAAATTATGTTGAAGACTAAGCAAGGTTTGGTACTGGCTTGGGTCTTATCAGCTCACTGATAAATCGGTTTGACTTTTGTAAACTTTAGATCAGATCTATCCACTCTTTTCCCTTCGGTTGGTACACATCTCTGATATCAAAACGAAAGGTCGAGCTGAAGCAAAACCAGCAGTACTCCATCTACGCAGAGTTAACTCCCTTCGATTGATTGAATGTAAAAATAGGAACAGTCCCCTCGAAAGCGGATGTCTCAAACTTGTGGCTGATCGTTTTGTGGTCGTAGTTTGATTTAAGGTCTATTCTAAAAAAAAAATTAAACTAAGAACCAAAACGAATGTCATTTGTTCATAAAAAAATTTATTTTACAACAAATTATAGGTAAAATGTACTAAGGTGTTGTTCCGCTCACTTGAACGTTAGTATTAATTTTTTAATGACATCAAGCACTAACATAAATTCTACCACTTCCGGTTACTCTTGAGGAGGACGTTGGGGTCAGTCACGTCGAGCTCACGATACAAACATGTTTCGAGTTGCATTAAGAGCTTCTGCTTCTCTTCAAAATGCCGCCAAGCAGTGCTTGAAGGTTCAAGGATCTGGTATGTGAAGCATTTGTGAATTATGTATTTTATGCTTTTTGTTGACCTTATTAGCCTAAGCTCTCCCTTTCACTTATTTCATAGGCGAGCTTGCTAGGCTGCTCGGCAAGTGAAGTTGATAGGAGGAAGCAAGTTGATAAGACTGAGATTATTGGGGCTGGGGGGAGTCATTTGATTAAAATTTAATAAAAAATCACGTCATAAAAAAAAAGAAACTAATTGTAGGGCCAAGTCTAAAAACAAACTCACCAATAGATCTATCCTTTTCATCACAACGATACCAACTCTGATAAACTTGTTCACTGGGTCTTGACTTTGACAGGGCTTGGATTTGGAGAGGCGGGTCAAAGTCAAAGTACACTGCAGACAAACTGCCCGTGATCAATGACAGTTGTGAACACATGAAGCTGCAGCGAGCACCTAGATTCTAGATCTTGCACACCTCTATGATTAGCCCAAATATAGATGAAATTTTTTCCACCCTCTATTTTTGTCGCCTTCCGGCGTTTCCCTTGCCAATAGGCTAACTAAAAGTTGACGAGATCTCCCGGTGTTTGAAGTTTGTTTTTTTTGCGCTTTTTCGGTAGTTCCCACCCCATAATTCTTATTTGCTGGTTTTGGCCCCAAGAGTAAGGGGGTTTCAGGGCATGCCCCCCTGAATTTTATCGTAATATTGATGTTTGCAGTTGTTAGGTTTGATATCTTAGCTCGCCGCGCATCAAAAGTATAGATCTAGATGTAGATCTAGGCTCAAATAAGGGGGGTGGGAACTACCGAAAAAGCATTGTTTTTTGTGTTATCTTTTATAAACTAACAAATCTCAGCATTTCTCATTTCATAAATTAACCTTCTCCTCAAAGTTGTACACTCACACACACAAGCATGCGCACACACAGCCCAAGCAGTTGGCAATGAAACCTACCTAGTGACGTAGCCCATTGCGCGCTAAGCGGCAAATCAGGCCCGCCATGGTGAGATCTAGTAGCAATGCCAATCACCCGCTGCGCCTTGTGCCGGAAATCGGCCTCCGCGCGAGGGGTATTTTTTGGGCCGCTCGGAATCAGAAGTGACTCTCTTCAAAGTTTAGTTACGGGAAAACTCCTGGACGAAAATAAATGAAACTCGGCAGCCAACCAGAGGAAAGGTTAAACTAACGACATGCCAGCGTACAATCCCGAACGATTACTAGAACCGGAGATATTGCCGTGTTTGTGAGAATTTCCTCTGCGGTTCGAAAACTAAGCGGAGCAGCGGGTTGATCGCCGACCACAGAAGCGCCCCACATGTCTTCTTTATTGCTGTAAAATTTCAGATCTCTGCGTTTAGTAGATTTTCCGTACCAACTTAAAATTACCACCCACCCATTGATAAAACACTAGATCTAGAAACTTAATCGCGCATTCCAAACGCGAGGTGCCGGCATGCAAGAGGCGCGTGATCGCTAGGCGGCATGTGATTGGCTGCCTATAACCAAATGGGTCACCGATGACTACATCGCGGGTTTTCCCGATTGCGCTTTACTGAGTTTTAGAAGGGGTGATCGCGTCGCGGTAAAAACGATGTCACGCAATTCAACAAATTTCACGCAAATATCAGTCTTTAAGATCCAAAGTAATGAAGACAACGAAAAAGTGATACCAGAACTAGATTTGGCACTAAAAATCACATGGAGATGCCAAGTTTCATTCATATGCTCCAATTCATTACTGACTTATGAACAGTTTTTCCTCAAAATACATCAAAACATGTCCCACATTTTGGCGATTTTTTCCTATATGAAGGTCCTCCAACATTTTGCAAACAAAAATCCCAATAACTTTTTTATTTATCAATGGATTTTTTAAATTTGAAAACCACAGTTCTTAGAATTTACTCTAGTTTCATTTAAGCCCATTTTTAAGCAATTCGGATGAAAATTTAATTTTTCATTGTCATTGCTAGATCTAGTCAACTGGAGTCAACTGGTGAGGGAAGCACAGGAAGACGGCAAAAATAGATGATCGATGGAAATACATCATCTATATATTTGAGCCATTCACAGAGGTGTGCTTGGTGCTCGCTGTGGCTTCATGTTTGTGTTGTGAAGAGAGAAATTCTGTAATGAGCGACCACTATAAAACAGAATATAAGGTTAGGGTTTGGGGAAGGGGTAAGGATAGTGGTAGGGTTAGGTCTCTTCTTTATTGTTGTGGGGAGGAGTTCCTCAGAGGGCCAGCACTTACCGTGACTAGGTCCAAGGACCAATGAGCAAACTATACTTGCTTTCCAGTGCAAACGAATTCTACTTTCACTCTATGTCAATTGATACTATTATACTATTTCTAATTCTCTGTGGCAGACAGAGCAAGCCATCTAACACTGAATCAGTCTCAAGCCACAATCATTGAAGGGACTGTCGTGTTGCTTTGTACCTTGTACCAGTAACTTGCTAGGGAAGCAGGGTATTGCGAACTGTGAATGGAATCACAACTGGGATTTTGCACTAGGTTAGCCAACACTGGATTGATTTTTACTTTGGGATCTGGGTTACCGGGGATCTGCACGCACATGCTCTGTCTGTTTTAGGGGCTAAACTACCATATTTTTTCCTGCAGAACAGACATATATATATATATATAATAATAAATAGCATTTGTACATCCCCGCTCAACAGCAAGCTCTATACATATAAAGCTACAGCGAGCAACTAGCACACCACTGTGATTGGCCCACATGACGTATAAATTTGCGCCATGTATTTTTGTCGTCTTACGGGGTATCCCCAAAGACTCTTGGGTTTCCCTCGCCAGTAACTGTTGAATAGATTTCGCTGTGTTTGGGGTTTTTTTGGGGTTTTTTTCGCATTGTGTTATCTTTTATAAACATATTACATATAATAATAAATATAAATAATCTCAGTAATTCTTGTTCCTTAAATTTACTATTTACCCCCTGAAAGTTGTACACACACAAACATATGTGTACCCCCCGGGGCGGTGCTACTGACTGAAGTATCTTTAGGCCATTCCCAAAGAGGAAGACAGTAACATATCCTGTTCTTATGCACAGTAGAATTGTAATTGTAAATGGGCTGATTCATCAATGTCATGCTCATAACTGTGCCTGAACTGCAACAGGGAACTGCTGCTTTTTCTTTCTTCTAATAATCCTTACTATCGTCATTTTCCTCTACTTCTTTTGTATGTTTGTCACACTCTTGTGACCCGTTATTTCTGAGTTGCCTTGATAGTCGAAGCAGACTTTTTTCTGGTGAAGCTAGAGAGGTAAACAGAGTAAGTTTGATTCGCGGTAAGTACTTCTCTGTTGACATCCACCTTTTGGCGCTCCTATGACCTTATGCAGTTGCGAGCGCTTTAAAATCTCTACTAAACAAACACGCGTGTGCGCTCCGGGCAACACACTCAGCCCAAGCAGTCGGTGATGAACTGTAGTGTAAAACCTTTTCTGTAAAATTCTTATGGAAGTGTGTTTATATATATGGACATAAAAGGTGTTGAGCCAAAAATCGAAAATTCAACAAAAATTGCCAAACTGACAGAAAAATGTCTGTTTCTTCAATTTCACTCTTTTGACGAGCGCCTGATTTCACCACGCTGTATCACATATAGTCATTAACCCTACAGAATCAATTGTTTTCAAGAAAATCTCAAACTTTATTTCAAAACATCAAATTTTAGTGAAATACGGGGGAGCCTGCCCCCCTGAAACTCCCCATGTTGTTACTACTACCGAATCTAGGTCTGGATTGCTAAGTTCGGTCACTAATTCTTACATCCTCCCACTTGCTTCTACTATGCTTTGAACCCTCTACATAACTTGGTTTAGCACTAGAAAAGTCTGGATTCCACCTGTCATTGATTCATGGGTCTATCAGTTTGAAAATGCTCTTCGGGTCGTCAAGAAATAATATTGACATTTAAGTCAGTAATAAGGGATGTAATTACAACAATCTTCAATGGACTCATAATGAACAGCGGTTACATACCCGTGAAGACTAGCCTCAAAACACGTTTAGTTATTGTACAAATTAAATAGGAAATAAATTCGAAATTGATGAGTTGCGGCAGTGGCAGTACCTCGTCTATCAATTTTTTCCAGAGACACCTTGGGTTCTTTAAAACAATGAGAATAATGAATCAAAATTTCAAAACTAAAACTTTGACAGTATTTTGGGTTCTAAATAAGAGTAATATTCTCAAATCGTATTTTCAGATACTTTTGAAAAAGTTATTTTTCTCATGCATGACCCTTTCAGATTAATAAAAGGTTGTTTTCTACTGGAAGCAGCATTATGTATATTTTCCTGTGTGTAGCAATCGGTCAATATAAATCTTTCCATTTGTTCCTAAATTATGTAGCCTATAACTATAATATGAGTTGTTATATTTTCAGACTGGAGAAGAATATTTTAATTTTCACATGATTTGTGTATCATTTGATACTGCTCTTTCAGTAACCAGATTCAAAGATGTAGCACTGAAAATGAACTCTACGAGTAAGAATATTGGTCTTGTGTCTTGTTAATTCTGCATCCAGATGAAAGTAGCCAGTGGAAGTGCTAGCTGAGCACAGTTGGTTCTTGCACCCTTAGTGACATTAACTATATATACAATATCAAAGCTGTTGATTGCACTGAAGAATTAATCTTATTTTAATTTCTTAAGTTTTTGAGAGAATTTTTGTGTTGATGATGATTTTTTTCCAAGCCATTTTGATCTCTGCGTTTTGGATTCCACTTTTTATTAAATTGTTAGTGTTAGAGTTTAAATGACAGGATTTGTATTTCCGTGTCAAACAAAAACCTACTATTTGTCTGTCAACAGCCCTCACTGCTGTGCGTCATGGACATGGCAAAGTGGAAACTGAAGAAGAGTTCGACAGCAGATATGTGAAGTACTTTGATCGACCAGACATTGATGGCTGGGAAATCCGCAAGGCTATGAATGATTTGACTGTAAGTGAACTGAAAACATTGTCAATGGCAATTTTACTGGCTCTTGGTCAAATCTTAGTCTGGAACTGGGTAACAATGGAGATATGTTCTTTCTAAGATCTTCTTCAAGATTTTCACCCCCCCCCCCCCCCCCCCCCCCCCCCCCAGCGGGGCAGTGCCACTAACTGTAGTGTCTTTGGGCAATTCCCAACGGAGGGACATTTCTCGTTCAAGCACAGTAGATGGGCTGATTCATGTCACGCTCATAACTGCCTGGTCTACTACAGGGAACTGCTGCTTTTTCTTTCTTAATCCTTACTATTGTCATTTTCCTCTACTTCTTTTGTATGTTTGTCACTCTCTTGTGACCTGCTATTTCCGGGGTGCCTTGATAGTCGAAGCAGACCTTGTGCTGTTGAAGCTAGAGAAGTGAGCAGACTAAGTCTGATTCCCTGTAAAGACTTCTCTGTTGACACCCACCCCTTGGCGCTCATATGACCTTATGCAGTTGCGAGCGTCGTAAAACCTTCTACTATAAAAAAATAAAAAGTTCAAGATTTTCAGTTTTTCTTGTAATCTTTTACCATTAATGATTTTCATGTCCACATCGATAGTACATGAATGTAGTAGAAGATGGTGTACATTGAAGCCTACCAAAAGTTGGTCTTAAAACCCAACTTATGTGTGTACCCTTCACCTTTTTTGTGGTAAAACTCTACCAGTTTAATTGTTAGCTTACATTATAATCAGTGCTTGTGACTGCTTATAACAGTGGCCCGAAAAGGGTGGACAGGATATTTATGTGAAACAGTTTCGAGTGTTGTGCACACTGCTCATTGGTGATTTTCTAAATGTTACTATTTAAATTTATATGGCCATTTTCTATCACGGTCTATGGATAATTTGACTGCGACAATGTTTCCAAATTAAGAACGGGAAGCAGTGATTATTTGATTATTTATGGAGACTTGTGATGCCACTTTTGCTACAGAAAGTGGAAAAAGGATTAGGAGACTTTACTTCTTTGCATGGCTAGCCATTATTTGGTGATCGAAGTTAAAACATCATGTAGGAGGGAAATTTACTGTATTGATTCAGCTTGATGACCAAATGATAATACCGATGTTTTATTCAATCAATGATTACGCTAACCTTTTCCGGAGCTGGGAAATTCATGTTGATTTTTTTACTTTGGCAGGTGGATTGTTTATCGGAGCCCTATTTCAATCTTTCTTTTGCTTTGTTTGTGACAAGTATATTTGGAACTACTTGTATTTGTTGGGATGACAGCTTTCTGCTCTTCTCAGTTCTTTAAAAAAGTTGTAATCATGGTATCAAATCTATTTCTTGCACAGGGTGAGGACTTGGTACCCGAGCCTAAAATCATCATTGCTGCTCTGAAGGCCTGTAGAAGACTGAACGACTACTCCTTAGCTGTGAGGTACCTTGAGTCAGTACAGGTAGGTGCCTTTTTTTTTTTCTTTTTTTTTTTTTTTGCTTCTTCAAGAATATGGTTCTTTTAATGATTTAAAAATGCTTGCCGCCTATTTGACATTTTAGGATGTTATAGGACTTTCGTTCTCTGGTATTTTTGCTTCCTTTACACTTGTTTTATCATAACTGGTACAGCCACCCTGTATTGAGTTTGTAATGTGTTTAAGGTTGGTGAGATTCAAATTAAAAGAGGCAAAGAAGAGGTTCTGTTATTTATGGCTATAACCTACATGCTCATACATAGGTTACTTGATTTTTATTATACTCAATTGTTATACAATAGGCTCTGCCTAAACGCACACCATATAAAGGCATATTTGCTCAAACACAGGCTTTTGTTATTTTCTTTGACCATGATAAAGTTGTGCGAGAAATCAGATACCACATTACTTGAGATTGGATTTCATTGACTTACTCCGGTATCTATTTCAAGCTGCCTTCGTACATTGTTGAGTCATCATCATGGTCTGACAGAGGTAGACATAATTTTATGCACTGGGCTCTTTTGTCTGAAAGAAATAAGAGAACCTTTACTTTAGTGTTGGAAATAATTTTATAAGATCAAAGGCACCATTTTTGGATCAATATACAGTGCAGCCTCTCTATAACCGTATCCTCTGTATTGTGACATGGTGCTCAGGTTCCACTTTTTCCCTTTATATATATCATTAGTATTTTTTTGTTGCCTCTCTATAACGACATCTCACTGTATTTGTATGAATTGATTTAAGTTGTATGCTGGTGAAAACACTTTGTCTTATTTTAAGGTGTTAACAGCACTACATTGTTCTGTTGTTTTTCTCCTATAATTGATTTCTGCTAAGTGAAATATTTTTCACTTCCTCTTTCAGTGGAAATGTGGGACCCAAAAGGCAAAGATCTGGCCTTATATACACCAGGAGATCAAACCCACCTTGGAAGAGCTTGGCATCCTGACACCAGAAGAGATGGGTTATGATAAACCTGAACTAGCCCTGAAGAGTGTATTTGACATGTAAATGCCTAGCAGTGAAGTATTGAGGTAAGTGAAGATGTGTGTGTGTGTGTGTGTGCGTGCTGACTGTAGTGAAGAACATTGTGAAAGAGTGGCACAGTACTGTCAGGCTTTCCATAACAATCCTTTGTATAGATAGATAGCCATTCTGCATTGATTGCGCTGCGTTTTAAAAAAAACAACTGTATAGCTTGTATTGCCAAATCCCATAAGATTTTTTTGTGTCTAAATGCCCCTTGGAGCCAAGCCCTTGTTGATGATAGTAACTTCCTCAGCTTATATTTTATACCATTGGTCGATATCAGGACGTGTGCTGGTAATGTTGAGTTCATTTTGTGGCTTTGTTTTACATTTACATTGCTGCCTCACCTATGTTGACTGTAAATTACCTCTATTTTGTCATCGAGTGTTAACATTTTGTAAAGGAATTTTAGTTCAACTACATTTTGGGATGCCTTACAACCTGGTATTACGTACTATTTTGATAAGTACAAAAGGGTGTCTGTGGCGTAGTAGTTAGGCACTTCAGTATTGGGATATTTGTGTTCGATTCCTATTTGAAGAAATTATTACAACAATTTTGTATCTCCCTCGGTCTGCTGTGGCATTGCATCCCTCTCCGCCCTAATTTTCTGTGACAGATATGTTGGAAGCAGCCTGCTGCCAAAATCTTTAAAATTGTGTCTGTGAGGGCAATTGCATATGAGATATTCTTGTTTTTCGAGGGATAGAATACAAATTCTTGGTCATTTTAAAGGATTGCTTCCCTTGTTGGTCCATTGTTGATCAGTCTCCAAAATTTCATTACTTTCTAAACTTGAAATCAATTCAGTATAGTAGATGGTTTTACGGCGCTCGCAAATGCATAAGGTCATATGAGCGCCAAGGGATGGGTGTCAACAGAGAAGTCTTTACAGGGAATCAGACTTAACTATCAAGGCACCCCGGAAATAGAAGGTCACAAGAGAGTGACAAACATACAAAAGAAGTAGAGGAAAATGACAATAGTAAGGATTAAGAAAGAAAAACAGCAGTTCCCTGTTGTAGATCAGGCACAGTTATGAGCGTGACATGAATCAGCCCATTTACAATTCTACTGTGCTTGAACGAGAAATGTCCTCCCTTTGGGAATGGCCTAAAGTCAGTGGCACTGCACCGGGGGGGTGTTAGATTTTTAAAATATTTTTTATCCATTTAGTACCTTTAGGTTTAAGTAACAAGCATATCACCAATGGTCCTAATCATTTTCCATGGTTATGATTCCATTGAAAAAAGCTATTATTGGATGCCATTTTTGACAAGAACTCAGGGCATTGTGCTTTTAGTTTTTTAAAACTTAGTGTAAGGCCATTCTGTCTCACAATGGGTCTGTTTGATTTTGTGCATAAGTCTGATTTTGGCCATTATGATAGCATGTTGACAATATGTAGCCTACTTGTTTGTACCGGTATGCAGTTTTCCTTTTAGATTTCCAATCACTGTCAACAGCACCATGGTTTCTGGTCATTAGGTTGAGTTTTTGTGCTGTAGTTCATTTGTTTGATATAGAGAATAGCATTGTGTCGGCAGCATGCGAGCGTCTTAGGGGCAGAATCTTTATTTTATCTATGTCAATACTGTTTTACAGATGGGTGATGCATAGTGTATTGATTAATTAATAGCTTCGGAGAGTTGTATGTATGATACTGACAGCATTGATTTGACCTCGACACCCCTAGTGTGGAGTGTCACTGTTGAATAGTTCAGTTGAATCCGTTTATGGCAATCCAGTCAACTCTGCTGAAATAGTTAACTCGGAATAGAATTTGTTTTAAGGTACGGTATACACACTTCATACTTCAAGCAAACATTTTCCATTGCTCTCTTTTCAGTGACAGGAGAACTCGGTGAAGTGCACAGAGGGCCTGAAATTCCGTCAGCTGTTGGGTGTTTTGTGTACTGTCATTTTTATCTAGTAGCAGTCAGTTCTCTACTTTTTTCATTATTGAAGTGAAATAAATGTTGAAAATTTTTCTTGCCTTTTGTTGTTCATTTGTTTATGATTTATGTGTGTGGTTTGTCATATTCTTTAGGGAATGTTAGGGACCTTTTTGTGTTGTATCAGGACTGTTGTCCTTTTTCCTTGGAGTACAGTTCCAAATGAATTTTATAATTTGCTGGAATACTATAGAGTTGAGGAAGTGAGTGGTTGGCAGGTGCTCTGGTGTGGCTTGCTTCTTCTTTCCTATCAAATACCTATCGTCCTTATCTCCTCTCCTTTTTTACAACTCTATTGTAACACCTCTTATCTTCTGGCGCTCATATGACCTTACGCAGTTGCGAGCGCCGCAAAACCCTCTACTATAAAAAAAAATAATACTTACCAAGGACCCTCATGCTATGGAAGTCTCCAAACTTTTTCGGCCATTTAATTTCTTACTAATTTTACCTCTGGACCAGGCGATCCCCCCACCTCCTTCAATCGCAAATATCTCGACTTCTGTTCCAGATAGGTGAGTATTTTTTTCCTCAAAAGCAAGCAGCAAGACAAAGAACATGCTTTATGATGATACCTGTAATTCCACATGCCCAAAAATTGAATAGCGTCTGATTCCACAGATTCGTGGCACATTTCATTCAGAGATGCAGAACTTGCAAACTCCTCACTGATTGACAGTTTGCTTTTGACAACTTCACACCGTGTTGTTTGGAACGTAATGTCAGAATCAAAACATTTCAATTTCCAGTTGCAATACAGTTTTGTTTACAGAGTAGAAGTCCTGTTGGATATCCTCTTCAAAGTTACATAGCTATACAAGCTCTGTGGTTTTGGAGTCCCAGGATGAAGGAGATGTCCTGACTTTTAATTTTGTGTTCAAGGTGTCCATGACCCTAAGACATATTTTGAAAAGTAAATTAATAAAGACTTGGGTCACACAATAGTTTTCCTTTTAATCTGTAAGTTGTATGAGTTATTAAACTGTCCCCGTCATTTTATCTGTCCCCGTAGAATTATTCAAATTCAGATGGTCAAATTATGCCCAAAAAATGCAAGTTACCGTAACACCATTCGCGACATGTTTTACACTTTTTCAACACGAATTTTCATGTTTTATATTTAATGTACTGAAAAATTTAAAACAACATATCAGTATCAGTAAATTTTTGTGTATTTGGAAAGAAAACAATACACATCAGTAAAAAAAAAAACAACCAAAAATTATAATCTCTGTAACTTTCCAGCTCTAGATCTAGATCTATAGGGGAAAGAAAAATGTAAAGAAAAAAAAAAGGACATCTGGACCACTGATGCTGGCATATTACTAAAACCAGGGACACCTGTCAAATATGAAACATCAGCAGACATGAGAGAGAACAACTTTTGATGGATTTACACAATCCCAACCCATAACCAAGATCTACTAAGGGAAATAACCAACTTTTCATTTAAATTAGACTTATTACGGTGATTATTTCCCTTTAGTCACATGGCGAGGCGTTAATTGTTTTGTGTGAAAAAACGCGGGGAATCCAAAATTATGCAAATGTTGCAGAATTACGCGATAAAACGCGGCTGCGCAATTGCATAATCCTACGGGGACAGTTTTATGCAAGAAAAATTCTTAAATTATGCAAACTGAACCCGAAAATGTGAAATTATGCGGTTCTGTAAACTTTAACAAAGAATGATGAAGGAAAATTTATAATCAGAAATTACGCAAAAAATGATGAGATTTTGCTAGATTATGCGGAGTACATAAAACCACGGGGACATATTTAATAAGTTATTTGTAGTAATTGCTGATACCTCTGAAGTTGCATAATAATACAACATAATTTTATTGTTCTGTATTCGAGCCATCTGGTGTCTGCTTTGTTATAGCTAGCTATGCTGTCTGCCGTAGCATGAAGGAGGAGTCAGTTCGATTCCAGATCGGGGAAGTTTTTTTTTTTTGGGGGGGTGGCCTTATTTAGGCCACATATGGTCCTGAATAGTATCGTTTTAGTATGGCCTACAAAAAAAAAACCCAGCAACATGTTCATGTACTGTACATATCACCCCCCCCCCCCCCAAAAGGACACTTTTCATTCAAACATATGGCACAGCAGAATCTTGTTTGTTACCGTACTTGACGGGCAGTAAGAGCTGTACAACAGAAGAACCCTGTTGAACTGCCGACTTCATACTTGTCCCAAGGGTGGCAGTATATAACGAGGTTTGACTGTGACTATATAAAGTATATTCAAACTATTTCTTCCTCAAGTAGGTCCTAACTCTGATGTCATAGTACTCATAGTCATTCATACACACAATGGGCTTGATCCAATTTTATTTGGAACAGAAAATCCGGCACCAAAATATTTCATATGTTGAAAAACATTTTTATCATTTTAAAAACCAATGTAGGCTTACTTATTCAATTCAGTAGCCAACACATTTTATGGGGTAGCAGCTCAACATTGTAACTTGAGTTTTTAAAAGGAAAAATGATTTTTCACCTCTTCACTAAATCCACCAATAACGCCTGCAATATAATATAACTACATCACATGTAAAGATATGTTTTCAAAATAATCGCAAAACTTTTGAAATTTTCACAGAACATGCGCACCTTCCCAGTGCCTTGAAATATTTGTTAGAAAAAGTTTTTAAACGTGATGAACATCGATTTCCTCCAAACCCCGACTTATAATATGTGTGAGCTGCTACCTTGCATTTTATGTATTTCCTGAAAAGTGAGATACCAGGGTGTGACACGTATAAAAGTATAAGGACCAAAATCAAATTTAAGAAGCAACTCTAATTGATGTACATGTAGCCAAAATGTTTGCTCTTACAGACTGGGTTACTCACACAGCTGTGTGCAATAGTCTTGGTGTTGTGCTGGTGTCATCACAACAGCAAAAGTTTGAATATATAAAAACAATAACAACAAATTTTAAAAAATGCTCTCCAATAATGAGACACGTAAACCCCAATTCAAAGTTTATTTACATTAAAAAGTTCTCTTAATATATATCTAAGTATTCGTTCAGTAGCCTACAATGATGACAAACTAAAAAGTTAACACATGATTTTATTGATCTGGCATTCCCATAAATACACTTTGAATTAAATGAGACTGTTTTCATAACCTGCATGCCCGAAAACTGACGAGTACCTGATTCCACCACGTCATGACATTATAATATTTATTATATTATATCCTGCTTCAAAGACAACTTCTATATACTACGTATTATTATATTGAAACTGATATATTTCTTCATACTTCATACTCATTTTTTTCTTTGTATTTAAAAATCTGTAGGGTCTACATTGAAATTCGTAATAATGAAAAGTTTTCCGAGTCCCACAGATTTCACTAGGACTATTAGCACTATTACAAGAGATGATCCTGGCTCAATCATAATTAATACATAATAGCAGAACATAATATAACCCCCCAAAAATGTGTATTCAAATGATTAGTCTTCGGTAATTTTGTATCCGAACCCTGTAAATTGTAACTTTTATTGCTATTACATGGAGTGTTAAACAGATCAAAACAACAGCAGAAATTTTTTTTTGGTGGCCATGATGGCCCAAACTTGTTTAGGTCCATTTCCAGTTCGTCAATCGTCATAACAAACAGCTATGGTCACATGGGTTACAACAATAAGATGCAAAACAGCCCATCCGCTATCAGTGAAGAAATCAGTAACATCTCTCTCTTCATGCTCAATATTTCCATTGAGAGTATCAATAAACATTGGCTCATCAGTTAAAACACTCTTGTTTAAAACTAACGGAACTAGTGACCAGTGCAATAAAACATGTGCCAAAAATTAATCCTGTGTGTTCTTCATCTGCAAATCAGTAGTAACGGTTAACTTTCTATTTCCTTGCATAACATTTTTGAGTTGTTCCCTTTGGTCTGCCCTTTTTCCGAACAAGTTTTGAGCTTAAAACAAGGTACAGGAAAATGTTCAGGCTGTGAGAAGGAGGGAAAATATACATGTACCAGTTCAGACATGGGGGGAGGGGGTGCAGAGTGCAGAGGTGGGTCTGGCTCAAGACG